TATATATATATATATATATATATATATATATATATATATGTATGTGTGTGTGTATATGTATACATATATATGTATATTTATATACATATATGGATGGATGGATTGATTGATAGACAGATGATAGAGAGATGATAATAGATGGTAGATTGATAGACAGATAATAATGATAGACTGATAGACAGATGATAATAGATGGATTGATTGATAATAGATGATATAGATATATATAAACAGATGATAATAAATAGATTGATAGATGATAATAGATGGTAGATTGCTAAACAGATAATAGATGATAGATGAATTGATAGATAACAGATGATAGACAGATGATAATAGATGAGATATATAAAATAGATAGGTGGGGGGGGATAAACTCACCCTGAGATCCCGCTCGGAGCGGTGGAGGCCGAGCCGCTCCAGCCCGACGGCCAGATCGTGGACGCAGAGGGCGCCGTCCCGGTTAACATCCAGCTGGACGAAGAGGCTGTACAGGCGGCACTCGTGCTCGGCCAGGAACCGGGAAACGGCCTCGCCGCCTCCGCCGGAGAAGGTGGCAAAGGAAGCGGGGGAAGGGGACGGGGAGACCCCGCCACACTGGCACAAGACGCCGTTAACGACCGTCGGGGAAGCCAGCGAGCGCCGCGCGCCGGCCGGCATAACCGCCACACACTTCAACCGGCACCACCTCTCTCAGCGGAAGTGGCCGCCTGCCCAGCGGAAGCGGCTTTTCTGAAGCCACTCCCGCCTCCCTGAAGGGCGCACCGCTCTCCGATTGCTCGAGGACACCGCTTGTTATCCTGGCTGCCCAATCCGGAGCGGAGAGGGCGGGGCGGGGAGAAATCTCGCGAGAAGAAAGGAGGGGAGGGCGGGAAAAAAATGTGTCTTGCTTTGCTCCGCCTTCTCCTCCTCCTACGTCAGTGCGCAAGGGCCCCCTGTTGGCCGGCGGAAGAACGTCAAACCCGAATCCGAGGAAGAATCAGCGGCGTTGATAGGAAAAGGATAATCAAAAAAACTCTCTCTTGACGGACAACGCTGGGAGCCAATTGAGTTCTGCCTCCTCGCCAATCGGCTTCAAGCTCTCCCGGATGAAGGGACCCTCCCGCCGCGGCGCTCCGAGCGAATCGCCGCCCCTTCGCGCGAGGCTGGGACGCCCGGGAGGGCGGGCTCTGACCCCCTAATGGGCAAAGAGCTGCGCCAATGAGAAGGAAGGGGCACGAGGGGGCCGATTCTGGAAGCCATTACGCCACTGCCGCAAAGTTAGAGGCTCTCTGCGGGGCGGGTGTCGCCGGGTAGTTGGGGTACGCAATTTGCGTACCTTTCTTCGCCTGCTGGGAAAGGGGATGGCGGGAAGGGCGGAGGGGCCTCGAAATGGCGGGATGGGCGCGGGGG